TATAATGTTCTTCAAACAAATAAAAATAAATAATTAAAAAAAAGGAAACAAGCTTTAAGTGAGCTAATAAGTGAGGTTAAGTAAAATAGCAGGATATAAGATCAACATATAAAAATCTATGGTATTTCCATATGCTAAAAAAGAGGTGATGTCAAAACTGAATTCAAAAAAATCATTTATAATTGTACAATGAAATACTTAGTTATAAATCTACCTAATCTTGTACAGGACTTACATGCCCAAAGCTAAATATACTGATGAAATAAGCTAAAGAAAATCTCAATAAATAGAAAGGCAGACTGTTTTTATGGATTGGGGGATTCAAAATAGTAAGGATGTCAATTTTCTCCAAACTAATCTATAGATTTAATGCAATTCTTTAAAAAATCCCAGAAGGATTTTTATGGACATAAACCAGCTTTTATATAATATATGGAAAGGCACAGACTCTAGGATAGCCATGATAATCTTGATGAACAAAGTAGGAGGAAAAATTCTGCTTGATATTAAAACTTGTGATGGAGCTTCAATAGTCATGACCATGGTACTGGCAAAAGAATAGATACACAGATGAATAAAACTGAATAAATAACCTTGAACAAGTGCAAATTACTGATTTTTGACAAAAGTACAAAAAGCACAGAAAGCAATTCAATGGAGGGAGAATAGCCTTTTCAACAAATAGTGCTAGAACAGAAAGAAAAGAACCTTGACCTGAGATCATGATCATAAATATGAAAAGTATATCTCTAAGACTTAGAGAATAACACGAGAAAATATCTTCAGGGCCTAGGGCTAGGCAAAGGATTTTATAGACTTGACACAAAAAGTGCTATAAAAGAAAAAAATGACAAATTGGACTTCATCAAAATTAAAAACTTCTGCTCTGCATAAGATCCTTTTAAGAGGATATAAGAGGAAGCTACAGAGTAGGGAAAACATTTGCAAACCACGTATTTGACTAAGGACTGTATCTACAATATATAAAGACCTCTCAAAATTCAACAATATAAAAACAAACAAACCAGTTAGAAAATGGGGAAAAGACAGAAGAGATGTTTCACCAAAGAGGATACACAGACAGGGAGTTCAATCTCACTAGCCTTTAGAGAAATGCAAAATCAAACCACAATGAGATACCACTACACACACCTATGAGAAGAGCTAAATTTTAAAAAATGACAACACAAAAAGCTGGCGAGGATGTGGAGAACTTGGACCATTCATACATTGCTGGTGGCAATGTAAAAATGGCCCAGCCACTCTGGGAAGTAGTTTGATAGTTTGCTGTAAAATTACATATATGCTTGTTATATGACCCAGCAATGGCATTCTTAGGCATTTGTCCCTAAGAAATGAAAAGGTGTATCAACATAAAACCTGTACATCAATGTTCATAGAAGCTTTATTAATAATAGATGAAAATGAGGAATGAGTTGTCCTACAGAGATGGTTATACAAACTGTGGTGCATACATACCATGGAATACTATTTACCAATAAAAAGGAAAAACTAGTGATACATATAATAATTGGGACAAATATTAAGAGTATTATGCTGACTGAAAAAAAATTTCAAAAAGTCACATACTGTATGACTCCATTTTTAGAACATTTTTTATGATGATGGAATTATAGAGATGGAGAACAAATTAGTGATTCCCAGGGGTTAAGGGTCATGGGAGAAGAGCAGGAGGAACAATGAAAGAACAGCAGGAGGTATACCTCTGTGGTGAAGGAACAGTTCTGTATCTTGATTATAGTGGGGGGTGTAAAAATCAACATGTGATAAAATTCCATAGAAGCATATACATACAGACATACCATCAATGAATGCATGTAAAACTGGTGAAATGTGAATAATGTCTATGAACATATACCATGTAAATATTCTCATTTTCATATTGTATTGTACTTATCTGCGATATTTTCATTGGGAGAAATGGGTTGAAGAGTATACAAGATCTCTCTATTCTTTTTGCAACAAAGTTTTAAAACTGAAGGTAATTCAAATAAATTTTCCAGCAAGATATTCCCCTTGTTTCTCTCATTTCTATTTAGATCACTGAATAGCATAAAATGCACAAAAATGTGTCTTTCACTCTCTTTTAGGTATTTTAACTTCATCATAAAGTTTATTTGTACTGATGTTTGTATTTTAGTTGGCCCAATACATTAGTCTCTCTTATTCAAAAAATATAATATTCAGAAGATATATTTCACATTTTAACCAGGATCAATAATCATTTTCAAACACCTGAATAGTGCCACTAGGTCTGAAAGATGTAGTGTAGTATCTAAGACTGTCCCAGGAATACAGAGAGAAACATCTGATTGAATAGAGAATATTTACAATGTTATAGTGCCAATATTTAGCCGAAATCCTCCTCTAATCTGAAATTAGTCCATTTGCATAAAATAGATATAATACTTTTATTCTAGATGAGATATACTTTAGGTTCTTATGATCATAAGATGTCAAAACTGTTAGCTTTTCATATGTAACCTGTGGACTAATGTAAAAGGTTCAATGGACTCAAGTCCTGGACTTGATAAATTTATTGTCACACTATTCCTATAGCATTCCAGATTTGATCATAAGTACTTTTTGTGATGTAAAGCTTTCAATAAATACATCCAATACAAAATGCTAAAGGTCAAAAAGTCCATTGTTTTTTTCTGCTTGTGTTTTGGGAGACTAGTGACTACTAAGGGAAGAGAGTCTTGCTTTGTGCATTTGCTTCACATGGGTAAACTAGGGTGGATAATCCCAACTGCTCTACTCTAAAGAACTGAGAACTGACTTTTAAAGGCCATGTAACACAATGTCATAACATGCAACTTACTTGGTCAATTTGTTTGACATATGTTAAAATAAAATCAAAGGCTTCACTTAATTGGCCAGTCAGTTTAGTCAAAAATACTCAAGTTGAAACTAAAATAGAAATTTTGGTTAAGTCATTTGGGACATAGTCTAAATGGACATCACTGTCAGAAAAGCCCAGATGATATGGACTTTGAAATGTCTGCATATGAAAATTCAGGGCAAAATGCAAATTCTCATTTGAGGCATGTTTTGAACTGCCACCCAATTTTACAAGGCACAGTAAGAGGTGAGCTACATGAAGCATATTCTCATGGTCTTTCTTCATTTTCTGAAAATGTCCACATAATAGCAGGGCTGGCATTTTATAATTTCCAGAGCTATAAATCATTTTTAAAATAATGATGAAATTACTTTAAACAGATGTGAAAACATATGTTTGCCACAGTTGTACAAACCGCTTACTTGTCACACCTAATAAATGTAGAGATGTTTACTTCAACTGTGTTCCCGTATAATAACTAAATTTGAGGAAAATATACTTTATCTTAATATTGCAAATATAACTGATAGAAATTGACACAGAAAATCTCATTTAAAAGAAAATCTTCCATTATAACTGGGGTGCAGTTTAATATGCCACTCCCATCTATTAAGGTGTTTATCAGGAGGTGTGACCAACTTAGTTGACTGAAATGAATGAAACTGTGCCATTCCACAGCAAGAGATTCAGAACTGCTGGTACATACCACTGTGTATTTTATGAAAATCAGTTACTGTACATCTGTACGAGCACTCCAGCTGATTTTTCATAAAACACAAGCAGTGTGTACTTCAGCATTGCAACACATAGGCCAGTCCTAAATGCCATTTTGACTTACAAGGTTTGCAGTTCCGATGGAATCATATACATCATGTACAGCTTGAGATTTTCCTAGAAAAGCTACTTTACTACCAAACTGTCCTTCAAATAGTCATGATTTGGTGGGAAATAGGTCCCAGTAACAAATTGTTGCAGGATTATGAATGGACTTTCATCTTTAACTAGAATTTCATTACTGGTGTAAGAGTTTGGCTAGTTTAATATACTGAGCCTGACTTCTTCCCTTCTGACAACTATCCTGAAATCAATCATTTACATCTTGGGGCCCCAGAGGGTATAACCTTTTAGAGTCTCAATAAGAAAGAGTAAACATGTGACAAGGAAACCAACCATGGATCAATGAAATTAAAGTCATACATTATTCCAAATTCTAACTAAAATGCTTATCTAGGTAATTAAGGAAGAAAGTTCAGTCTAGAGAAGAAAGAAAAATTTATCCATTAACTCTTCAGCTCATGGAGTCTTTTTATCTCTATATATTGTGAGCATGACTAGTATAGATAGAAGAAAAACGCACCCTACAGTGAAGAACAAACAGACCACCTGATCTGGTAAATTACATGTTAGCCTACATTGTTTAGAGTTACCATCTAACTCATGGTGACAGCCGTAATACATAACCTCTAAAATATGCTGATACATTTTCCTTTTCTCTTACCTTTTCAGACTTTTTAACAAGTTGTACTCAGTTTTCATATCAATATAACATAACTTTTAAATTCTTACTCTCCCTGCATTCTTTAAACAGATACCCTAAGAAAAAAACTGGATACTATGCAGAGGTGATATGTGTACCTCAGTGGGTCAAAAGCATATCTATCAATATTTCAGGTAAATACTTCATTAGAGTAACTTGCAAAGCTTTAATTTGCAATGTCCAAGTTCGCATGTATTTTTAAATTGCTTTTGAGGGTTGAGGGGAGCATCTCTCTTCCACAACAGCAACTCAGTTTTTTAAACATAACCATCAAATGGTGAGTCATTTAAACATAGTTAACAAAGTGCATGCATAAAAAAAGGGTCAGGTATCTCTGATCAGGCTTAATAAAAAGACTTAAGTTAATGTTTCCAACCATAGGCACAAACTTACTTCCAGATGACATGTAATTTGTAACATCAAATAAACAAGCTTCAGGTAAACATTGTTTGTTTTTACTACTAAAAGAATTTATCCAATGCCAGTATAGATCTATTCTGACTTAGAAAAATGTGGATGCAATATACAGCACTGGGATGTTAACTGACTTAGTTTCTGATCTTTACATGTCCATCAAATAAGCAAAAATCATTTTACCTTTATTATCTCTTAGGAATTTTTTGATGGTTGGTCCATTATCCTGATCAACAATGAGTTCCTCTCTATTGTTGGGAATCATAACTACAAATAAGAGATATAACAGTAATTTTCTTGCAAAATACCCAAAAGAAAGGCAAAAAATAATAACATACACAGCTACTTTACTCCAATAACAACCAACACAAATTTTATACACTTCTACTTGTGCAAGAGTGACAAGATTTTAGTTGGTTTGGTGTTCATATAATTTAAAAATCAGTAAACTCCATAATCATGTGAATTTTTAAAGTATAATTAATATATAGTGCATATATAATTGCCGATATATTTCTTTTAAACCATTTAAAATATTTCTTTTAAAATACAATGAAAATTAGCTATTTACCTCTATTATTAAGAGTATATTTCCCAAAATGCTTCTGAAAGGAATTTACCACTTAATTTCATGCATTTAAAATAATTAGGCATTATTCCACTTTACAGAGTTTTGGCAAATATATATATAGTAAAATTAATAGCTAAAATGTTGCTGAGAATTATTGTAAGTGCTTCTTCACAAAACATGTATACTTAAACAGTAAAAGCATGTCAATTTTCATAGTTGGCCAAAAAACATGCCAAATTTTATCTCTTAATTCCCTTTAGTTATATTTTATTAAAACTTTTGAGCTCTATAAGTAAAATAGTCACTTTAAAATAAAAATCATCAAACCTTTTACTTCATTTATAGACAATCTTACTACCATGCTTGGACAATTGTGGAATGTGCATAGAAAACCTAATTAGTATCAGTGGAATTAGAAAAGTTTTACGTTGCCAAGATTTTTTTGGAATATTACATTGCTTTTGAAATATTTGATTTTACTTCTAAATGTAAGATGCCATTCTCTGATGATATCTCTACCACAGAGTATATTTCCCTATGTCCTCCTCTTTTAGCCAGCACTCAATAAACAATTCTCTTTCTCCCTTTCCTCTCTCCTTCACCTTCATCAATACAAAGATTATCCCAGCAGAAGCATATGTGTCTTCATTTCTTGATTCATTAATGGTCATTTGACTATATTGGCTTGTCTTGCTCAGAGGCCTTTGAATCAGTTACAATATTGTAACAACCAGGTAGTCTGTGTCCACAGAACAGAGAGTTAGAATACCTCTTACATATCTTCCAGGAATTAAACTTACTCCTTTAGGGCCATTAGCCTTAAGTTCTATCTCAGTGGCTCTTAACACTGGCTGCACATTAAAATCTCCGGAGGAGTTACTGTAAAGGAAGACAAAGCACTGCTGCCAGGCTCTATTCCAGACCAGGTAAATCAAACTCCAAGCATGTGGTCTGTGCATCTAGAGTTGTAAGCACTCCACAGATGATTATAAAGGGGAGCCAGACTTGAGACCCACTGAGATCACAATGATGCTAAAAAGCCACAAACAATATATAATATTGACAGGCTAAGTGAGACTTGGATCAATTTCCACAAGGGAGAAATCATCTTCATCTTTCTCTGGCACAAATCCATAATCTAATACCCTCCCTGAAACCTTAAATTCCTCTCCTTCCACCACCCCCTCCACACACAATTATTTTGGAGAGGCTTGAAGCAATTACTATTAGGACATGTAAAAATGTAGAGTTCACATAAAGAACATCCCTATAATAAGAGTAAAAGAAGAGCAGAAATTATTTTCCCTAAAGGAAATGGCTACTTAGGAAACTGGATTGTATAGGTACAGAAGATAAACAAAGGTTTTACCTAGCTCACTTGGTTCATAATTATTATATATGAAATGTGAATTTGTTACCGCTGAGGGCACTTAGTATAACATCTGTATACCTGAGTAGGATCAGACAGCAGGAGATGGTAAGCTATCAAGGTAAACCCACACACAGAAAAATAAGTGCTTATCCCTCACATTTCCTGAGCCCTTTAAACTTTTGAAGTGTTTTTCCACATATTATTTAATTTGACCTCACAAAAAACAAGTGGATTAGGCAGGGCAGTAATTATTTGTGTATATTAGGTAAACAAACTCGTGATTAAGTGAAATACCCGAAATCTCATAGCTGGTTAGTGCAAGAACAATGGCTAGACTCAAGTCTCCAGTATGCCACATCACCGACAATAACATGGTAATATTTCTGGAATAGTCTCTATGGTGTAATACAATAAAAAAAATGTAGGGAAAAGTATGTTAAATAACTGTTATCTAAATTGTCAAGATTGTAGAAAATCATGTTCTGATTCATTTTTTTAATCACTCTTAAGTGATTGACTGCCTAAAGTATATCTTACCTTCCATTATTCTAAGGATGCTGTGAATGTAACAAGTATATTGTATCACACTAGCTGTAAAATACCAACATATTAAATTAGCATATACTCTACAAAAAATACCTTGTATGAGATCCACTGACACAGTTAGTGAAGGGCCTTTCAGAGAACAAACTTTTAACACTTAATTTTGTTTTGTTATACATATTACTTCAGAGAAAAAAAAAGATGACCACTTCAGAAAGCCATTTATATTAAGATGACATCAGTTCCTCCAGCTTCTTTTTCCTCTATTGCCTGATGAAGAACTTCCTTGAAAGAGCATCTTTCAATTCCTTGTTTCAGACACTCACCCATTCTCTCTGAATGGTGATCCATCTGAGAGGGAGAGCTGGACACACTGCTGCTAGGGTGGGAGGAGGTCTGGCTTCCAGGGCGGTGACTCTCTTCCAGGGAGGGAGCAGGAGAAGGACTCTCTGGAATCCGTTCCTGACACAAAAGGAAATGCAAAAGGAAATGCCATCTGTGCACTGACTTTTTCATGCTGGTTGAGTCCCTAACATTTGAAATGTTGACTTCTCATTTATCCTAACAGTGCGCACATCCATAGTAACCTGGTCTTAACACAGATCTTTAGGCAAAAGCATAATTTTTGTTCTTGTGAAATTAACAGGATATCATTAGGGTTAAATAGGAACAGAAAGCGAAAGGGCTCAGTGCCATGCCAGATACATGGTAGACATTCAAAAAAAGTTAGCTTCCATTTATTTTCCTAGAAAATTCATAAGGCATTATGAACACAGGTGTGTAGTGAAGGTTATTGATTTTGTAAGGTTCTACACTGATATAAAGTTCATGCCAAGGCCTGGAGGGTTATCCTACTCTATGAGTAAGAAAACCTTCCAAAGGTAAATACTTGAGAACCTTGGGAAAAAAATTCACAAATAGTGGCACCTGGTACATGTTGAGTCCTTCTGCACAGAAATTATGGAAATAATATACCTGTAACCTATCAGACCTTAGGAATCTATGTTGCATTCTGCCAGCAAAACAGTTAGGCAGCTACAGGACACAATCATGGGTTTTCCAAACTAACACTAAGACCTAGACCTACAAATATCAATTCCTTAGTAGCTTAGATTTTTATAGTTTTAAATGAGGAATTTAAATAAAAATAAAATATTTCTTTTACATTCATCTACAGCAACTGTTACAGCTTTCAAAACTTTTGTGATTATGAATATTGCTATAAAACCATTGTTATTCACTATGTTTATGCATCACAAATTCATGAATAAATCTGACAATCATTCAGTTAATTTGATCAGTAAAATAACCAAATTGCAGTGCTTATGCATATATGCAATAAACGTGACTGGTTGACAGACATGCTGGGACAGTGAATTCTTGTTCTATAAAATATTTAATTCATCCATAATAAATTTCATAAATTAAATGTTCTGTCTAATTATCCATAATTATGACATCAGTATTCTAATCATTACATTAAGCATTTGTTCATTAAATATGTGCTTGTACATTTTCACATTGATTTTGCCTGAGAAGCCTAAAATTTATAAATCCCCTAAAGAAAAACTGTGTTTGCTTAATGCATAAATAATAGTGTGAAAGTTAAAGGTTATTATTTCATTAGCAAAAATTAACATTTTTCAAATTTTGTCAATGTGACAGGCAGAATAATGGCCCCCAAAGATGTCCAAGCCACATCCTAACAGCTGGAACTTGTGAATATGTTACCATACACAGCAAAATTGACTTTTCAGGTGTGATAGAGAATCTTGAGATAGAGATATTACACTGGATTATCTTGAAGGCAGAAAGGGACAGTCAGAAGGAGATACAGTTATGGAAAAATGATCAGAGATGCAGCATTGCTGGATTTGAAGGTGGAGAAAGGGAACCATGAGCCAAGAAATGTGGCTGGTTGCTAGAAGGTGGAAAAGGAGAGCAAACAGATTCTTCCCTGAAAGCTACAGAAAGAAATGCAGCCCTGCCAATACCTTGACTTCAGCTCAGTGAGAACCATGTCAGACATCCAACTTTACAGAACTGTGACATAATAAATAACAATACAGTTTCAAGCCACTAAATTTGTCATAATTTGTTAGAGCATCAATAAAAACCTAATAAAGTCATCAATGTATGTTCATTTTTAAATGGTGTTTCATATTATGTTTAGCATTTAATTAACATTTGATAATTTTAATGAAAAGAATAGTAGAGTGTATTACCAACAGTATTATAATTAAATACTGATAACTGTAAATGTACATTGCATTTTAAAGGGTTTATAACTGTTGTCGTACTTCAAAAACAATGTTTTATAGCAGAGAAATATACATGCCATTTATATTTTGTATACCAATAAATAGTTGTAACACTGTGTATACATGGTGAAAGCAAATGAAACAAGCAACGCAGAAGAAAAGAATCAAGTTTTCTTTTTCAAGTAATTACATTTGTATTCTGGAGTGATGGTATGGGGTTGGGCAGCAAGATAAACATAGCCCTTATACCACATTACCTTTTACTTTTTGAAAGGTCTAGCTGTGAAATTAAACTATCATGATTAAAAGTATATTCTCTAAATACCATGTGTACACATACACGCATACCAATGTAAAGAATTTAACATATGAGGTCAAAACATTTTTTTGCGTTTTGCAATTGTGCAGCCTGGATGATTCTATACGAAACTATGTGCATAATGTATAGAACATTCAATATTTGTCTTTGAATTCTAACACTGCAAATTTGCTGAAAAAATAAGTATTTTTTTAATGAACTATGTTTATCTCTAATGGATATCTGAATGAATGGACAGGGACAAAGTACAGCAGTTACTGAGCAAAAATAGAACTGAACAAACAAAATCACTGTGTAGTCAACAAGAGTCATACACATAGCAATATATTTTACCATAATAAAAATGGAAAATTTTTGAGTGATTCATAAAGTTGATGCTTTGGAAAAGTAAGAGAATCTAACTGACAGTAACACTTGCCCTTGCCCACTCTGCCTAATAAAAAATAAAAGCTCACGTGAATTTTAAAGAAAATAGAAGACTACACAAATAGAAAGTTTGATGAATAATGAGAAAAAAACAATACTATAAAGAGGGGTCTCCCAAAATGTTTAATATTAGCATATGAACAAAGAATATGAACTCAATTTACTCAAATTCATTCTTTGACATTTTCAGCAGCATAATAGGTGAAACAATAAACCAACTTTGATATGGCATAGAGTGAAAGCAACATTTTGCATGTAAGATTATGTAACCTACACTTTTCAAATTCAATCAAAGTTCGGTTATTGTTATTGTTTTCTTAAGGCACACAGAGGTCAGACTTTTTTTGCAAGCTAAATTATATTAGATGAGTACAGTGCCTTATATTGATTAAGAATTAGATGGGTTTAAAAGTATATATCTGTGTGAAACTGAGAATGTTTAATTTCTTCTAAAATAATGAATAGTTCTATGAACAATTTCTTCTTTGCAAGTAAACAGATTCATTTTTCAGCCCTGTAATCAGTATGCATTGATTTAGCTACTTAACTGCAATGTGCTTCGGTTCATTAGGTGGCTACTGTTGTGCCTCAGCCTAGTTAAAATTTCACAGCAAGTTAATCTGTTTTATTACAAATGAGAACACTAGTGATAATGTCCTCACCATTTGCCAAATACAGGGTTAACAGTATTTGCAACAAATCAATAAGGACATTTAAAAAGGAAAATTGCAGCTCTAAAACTCCAATCATTTTTACTCATTGATGACTTCATTTTATTTGCCATTTATGACTTTTACAACCCTGTTATTCATCATGTATTTCCTTCATGCCCCATCAAAAACAGCTGTAGCTCTTCTGAAACACTACAGAAGTCTCCAGATTTAGTCAAAGTAGCAGAGGAGGGAGATTTCCAAAACTGATACATCCTTACCCAATAAAATCCCCATTTCCCCTTGCAATTAATAAAATTATCTGCAATAATAATTCAGATGCTTATATATGCTCACATATAGTTGAAGGCTTATATCTAAAAAGAAAGATGTTATAGAATATTATTGATCAGTTGGTTACTAGTTAATAACAGTTATTGTGATTTATTAGTATATACAATCCCCTCTTCAATCACACTATTTTACTTTTATGTTGGGGACATGTCACAAGTGGTCAAAGGTGATATTTATCATAGTAAATCATTTGAAAGTACATTTGAACGTTAAGGAGCAGGATCAATCAATGTTTAGAAAATTTAGTTTTATACAAGGTTTAACACAGTTAATTTGGTTTAGATTATGTTTATTGGGCATAAAGCATCAATCCTGCCTGTTTTCATAGAGACCTTCTTAAATCATCTCAATATAGTACTTTAACATCCTTGGAAATATGGTAGTATACTCAGAAGTTATGAAGTACTAATATGTGCATACTAAACATGTGTTTATATGTATGTGCATATGTGCATAGTTGTCTTAATAACAATGATTTCAATGTTAAATTGTTGCCTCTGATATTTTATAATATTGATTCTTAAAAGCATTCAGTGGGATTATGTAATATATACTTTGCCTTTTTATTTTTATTTAATTGGAATTCAACTCTAACTGTAATTACTCTTCCAAATGTTAATCTATTAATGAGTTCCTAAAGGATTTAATGGCATTTTACTACTGAGGAGTGGTTTTTGGAAATTTATCTGAATGCTAGATATTTTATTCATGCATTTGTCTTGATATTTCATATTTAATTGATGAGCTCCTTCTGTACTGTCACTAGAGTTCTACAGAAGCAGAACAGATTGTAACCTAACAGATTTTAATAATGAAATCAGGGACAGGAAAATAAAAAGTTTGTTCATTGTTGCTGCTAATTTGGCTTGCCACTAATCCTGAGGAAAATTTGATGCCAAATTTGGTATCTCTGAATAGTATCAGAAACATGACACTTTATTAATCTTTATGAATCAGTTTAAGAGTTAATCGCTTTCTACAATCACCAATTGCCAGTTGTATTTACATTAACATAGATGTATATGGCAGGGTTTGCATGGACTTAGAAGAAACAGGCAAACTGGAGATGCAGCTGGAACATGTAACCATGGAGGAGTCCAAAATTATAGGCACACCCTTTCTGTGACCTGTGTGGACCCTCTCACCTCTTCTATGTGATCAACTTTTCTGGAAGAGGCTGCAGCTTAAGGGAATCAGCCATAATAGCTACTCATAGCATGTAAATGCCCTCAAATAGAAGAATGGATAGTTCAGTTGGAAAATGCATGGCTTCTAAATTACGTTGTAGGCTTGGACCTCTGCCACCCACGCAAACACCCCTGCCCCCATATTACCCTCAATTCTCACTCACTGCATCTTCATCTCATGTTCTAAAAACTAATAATAGTTTTGCCTTTCCATAAAGCTTAATTTAAGACTCAACTGGTAATTTTTCAGTAAATTTGAATTATC